ACCCAGGTCCAATACCATGAACGGCTTTATAAGTTACGACTAGCACTTTGAAGCGTATCCGGAGACCGATTGGTAGCCAATGCAGCTTGCGGAGGATAGGTGTAATGTGGGTGTACCGAGGTGCACCCACAATCGCTCGCGCGGCTGCATTCTGGACGAGTTGTAGTCTCCGAATACTCTTCAAAGGCTGCCCCATGTAGAGCGCATGGAACTGGTGGGCTGACTCAACCAATCAGGGTGGTTCTTGTGTGGAAAACAGGAAGAGGAAGGAGAATTATGTATGTTCATTGTCTTGAGTTACTTATAAAAATAATAAAAATGGGATTTTAAAAAATAAAAATTCCCACTTCAATTTACTTTTGCATTCCTCCTGACATAATTAGGTCTCCTTTTCAAAAAACAAAGTGAGCAGAAACATAATGCTAAGCAAGACTGGTCTCTATCAATCAGTTTACTTCTTGCAAATGGTCTATACAACACCGTACCAGTGGTGGGCATGACATAGCTTGGTGGGCATGGCTTGGTTTGCGTGGCAGGGAAGGATACTGTGAAATCTCCATTCCCTCCCCACTTCAGGGGAAGGTTACTGCAAAATCCCCATTTCCTCCTGATCAGCTGGGACTCGGGAGGTAGACAATAGATAGTTAGAGATGGTATTTACCGGTTCTCCAAACTACTCAAAATTTCCGCTACTGGTTCTCCAGAACTGGTCAGAACCTGCCGAATACTACCTCTGCAGTCTGCACCATACCCACTTTTTTTTTCTGCAAGCCTCTGCACATGTTTAAATTTCTAGGATTCAGTCTGGGTCGGTTACAGCGACCAGAGGTTTTGTCTTCTGAGCTTTTTAGACTCATGCTAGTGCCCATCTTCAGAGAAAGTCTCTCTACAGAGTATTTGAATTTTTCATCTCTGGTTTTTCCAATTCATTCAAATATAAAATGCAAAATTCTTTAGGTTACAGATTGCTACTTTCATACGCAAGCGTAACAACTTAGGTGACACCAGTTCATGCTTTGCAACCCACTTGAATTTGAATTTGGAAGGAACTTGGACTTCTTCATTTTTGAAAAAAAATGTTTTTATTGAAGATGAACAACATATATGAAGACAAGACAAATTTAAATAAAAATAAAATAAATCTCAGAGATATAAGTTAGACTTGGCACCAAACAGAAAAGGAAATGTAAATTTCTCCTGAGTAATGTAGTCATAGCTAGTTATAGCTTTTAATTTATTCTTTTTAAGATAATTGAACCCAATTTCCCTCGTCCTTGACTATTCCTGGATCCCTCTTGTAGGTGATCCCAGAAGCCAACAGGCAGATAATTCTAATCCTGCTCTTTCTGGCCTTGGTTCCCAACTTCCTTCTCACTTCAAAAGACTATGTTACTCTATTTAGTGGAAGGAGAGACTTTGTGAGGAAGACAATGATGTTCTGAAACACCACTAAGGCAGATTCGGTTCCCA